CATCTTTCTTCTCTCTCTATCTCTTTCTTTTTCTATGTCTTTCTCTCGATCATCTCTTTTCGCTCTCTTTCTCTCTTTGTCTATCTCTTACTCATCTCTTGTTTCTCTCTGTCTCTGTCTCTATCTCTTTCTCTTTCTGTCTCTCTCTCTCTCTTTCTCTATCTCTCTCTCTATCTTTCTCTCACTCATCACTCTTCTCTCTCTCTTTCTCTCTCTATGTCTGTCTGTTTGTCTCTCACTCTTTTCTCTCTCTTTCTCTCTATGTGTCTGTTTGTCTGTCTCCCCCATTGTGTTCACCTTGCTCACTCTCTCCCTCCACTCTTCTCTATTTACCGAGCTCTTCACTACAAGAAAATACACTTTTAGCGACCACTTTGTCTCTCTCTCTCGCTCATCACTCTGTCTCTGTCTTTGTCTCTGTCTCTCTCTTTCTTTCTCTCTCTATCTCTCTTCTCTATCTATCTCTCACTCATCTCTCTCTCACCACCCATCTCCTCTACCACATTCACTACTACTGCAAATGTCATTCCACTACCAGCATTATTACCATTGTTGCCACTCCACCTCTACGACTACCATTACTACCACCATTATTACCACTCCACTACCACTACCACCACTACTACTAATATTACCTCTCCTCTACTACCGCCACTCCATCTCCTCTACCACTACCACAACTTCATCACTAATCTCCTTCGCCATAACCATCATCACCTCTTATCCACCACCTTCACTATTACTGTCGCTCTCTCTCCTCTACCACAAAAAATTAGTTCTTGATTTTTAGTAATAAAAAAAAAATGGGCCACAAAAAACATATTTTTCATTGACCATAAAAAATTAATTTTATTTTAACGAAAAATATTTTTCATTAAAATATTACCTCTATTTCTACCAAAGTAAAAAAATAAGAATAATTTTTTATTCATTAAAATAAAAATGAAACAAATAAATTTTCAACTTTAATTACTAAAAAAAAAATAAAATCATTAACTATAAAAAAAAAATTATTTTAACAATTTCTCGCTCATCTTTCTTCTCTCTCTATCTCTCTCTTTTTCTATGTCTTTCTCTCGATCATCTCTTTTCGCTCTCTTTCTCTCTCTTTGTCTATCTGTTACTCATCTCTTGTTTCTCTCTGTCTCTGTCTCTATCTCTTTCTCTTTCTGTCTCTCTCTCTCTCTCTCTCTTTCTCTATCTCTCTCTCTATCTTTCTCTCACTCATCACTCTTCTCTCTCTCTTTCTCTCTCTATGTCTGTCTATTTGTCTCTCACTCTTCTCTCTCTCTTTCTCTCAATGTGTCTGTCTGTCTCCCCCATTGTGTTCACCTTGCTCACTCTCTCCTTCCCCTCTTCTCTATTTACCGAGCTCTTCACTAGAAGAAAATACACTTTTAGCGACCACTTTGTCTCTCTCTCTCTCCACTCTGTCTCTGTCTCTGTCTCTCTATCTCTCTTTTCTATTTGTCTTTCACTCATCTCTCTCTCTCACCACTCATCTCCTCTACCACTTTCACCATTACTGCAAATGTCATTCCACTACCACCACTGCTACCACTGTTGCCACTCCACCTCTACAACTACCATTATTACCACCATCGCCACCACTTCACTACCACCACCACCACTACTACTACCATTATCTCTCCTTCACCACTGCCACTCCATCTCCTCTACCACTACCACAACTTCATCATCAATCTCCTTCACTAGGTCCTCGACCTTACAAAAGGGATTGAAGGTGCGATTAACAATCCTGACAGTATTGACAGGGAGGTCAGCAGGTGTTGACTGGGTTTGATGATCTCTTACGAGTGTAGGACTGGAGCTGAAATTGGTGTTTCAATTTGAGTAACAAAAGTGTCATCCACAGTCTTTGCAACAACTATAAGCACTTGCTGCTTGTTCAGCCCTTTGACCTTCAAAGTCTTAATAGCACACCAAAGATGTGCATAAGGATCAATACTTGCCCTGGCCTTGTTCTTGCCGCTTGCTTCAACTTTGCCAAGGGATTTGGTAGCTATATCGAAGCGAGGCTTATTCATTGTTGACATGTCATTACCCAGACTTGAGATAGATTGGGGTTGGCCCTTTTCAATTGCAACTTGCCCTAAGATTGGAAAGCCTTTTGGCATGAAATTCTTTTATGTGATGTGGTCGATGAGGGAGCCAAGATCCCAAAGGCTAAGAGGCACAGATGTTCTGTAATAATTATTTCTTTGTTGCATGCAATCTCTTAATTATGTGAATGTGAATGATTATTTCTTTTGTTCTCTTGTATTTTTTTCCTCTTATTCTTATTATTATTTTTTCTCCTTTATGGAAATTGGATTTGAATTCCAAATGGGATGTTTTAAATTTGAATATCCATGTCATTTGATATCCTATACTATAGTCTTATGGATAGGATGTCTTATAATTCTATGAAGTGCTATGAGAGGCAGATAGGATGAAGTGTTATAATTAGGATGAAGTGCTATTAAATTTATTTTTATCTTGTTTGCTCTTTTTTTTTTCTTTTTTTCTTTTGGGTTCAGTTTCTTGTTTCAATTATTTGATTTTGGGAATTTTGTGTTATGTGCTTGAATGAAGTGATTATTAATAGTGCAACATAATTTAATTTATTTGGGTTTGTTACTCTGTCTATTGTTTTTTAGCTGGGTTTGAACTTTGAAGTCTTTATATGAGGACTATACCTTTGTCAATTTCTATTGAAGGCAACCACTACATGGTATGTATATTGTTTATGTTACTCTTTGATCTAGCTTTACAATTTCAAGTCACCAAATAGTCTTTGAACTATTTGTTAAAATGTCTGACCCAGAAATGTTTATTTTGAAATGATAAAGAATTAAGATGAGAAGGAATGGCTAGGCTACCAATGAGAATTTTATTTATTATTTTGTGGTTGGAATTGGGATTTTTTTTTTCTCTGATGTTCAAAATTCAGAAATTTGAAATGGTCAAATAGCGTTCGACTACTATTATTCAAAAACCTGAAATTGTTGGGATGTTTAAACCTTGAAAGCGTAGTGAATTTTTTAACCCCAATATGAACACTTGTGCATGTCAAGCTTTTGGAATGACTTAGATGCCTTTGTTTTCACCTTTTCAACAGTGCTGCCAATATTTATTGGTCCTCCTAACTGCCCAAAGAGCATCCTTTAATATTGCATCGTAGCCCTTTAAGTTATGCTTCCCAAATTTCCTAATGGATAGTAGTGTAGTCGCTACTTCCAAGTTCCAATCTACTTAAGTTATGCCTCCATCCATTTAGGGCCCCTTCTGTTTGTGGGAGTAAAATATGAATGTAGTGATATCAAGGTTCAAAAAATATAGGGACTTTGCTGATGTTGATTATTGCAGGGCAGTGGTAGTTAACTTTAGTAGTGATATTAACATTCTAGAAGTGGTGAAATTTAGTAGTTAATAGAATGGCATGCACAATGACTTTAATACATACAAAAGCAGAAAGCATGTGTTGAAGTTTGAAATATTGATGATGACATATGTATGATACCTGTATTTTGATATCGACACGTAATCAATTCCATGATTTGTCAAGAGTTTTAATCTAAAGATTTCAAACATTTGGAATTGGCTTTTAGAAGATGAAATTAATGTAGTCCTAATATGTGGTTTTTCAATATATGTTTCCTTGTTGCAACTCATTGCTGTGATGGAAATATGAATAGGTTGAGCTTTGTTATAGCATTATTCAATTCAAGTTTTATTTGGTTGTGTTCTTTGTGCATGTTGGCAAAAGAAAATTTTACCATAATATTGTTATCTGCCTCAATCTGCAATATTTTGTTTGAAAACCTATATAGTCATTTAATTGGCCTGTATGCATACGTGAATGTGAATCTGTCGGAGATTTTTTCTGATGTCCGAACTCATCAAATAAATTCAAGTACTCATACGATCGTTGATATTGAGGCTTCAGTTGTTTGATCTTCATGAGTCAAAGATCCAAAAAAATGATAATAATAATAATAAAAAATTAATAAATAAAATTAAAAAAAAATCTTGATGACATTTTTTTAAATAACATATGTTACGTGGAGCTGTGTGCATGGACTTGGGCAGGTAAGTGCAGGTACCATTATTTGTGCGCAATTCAGTGTTTATGGTTTTGTTGTAAACAGGGTAGACTGGCTTTTTAAGGTTCGAGAAAAGAACAATGGTGTACTATTTTTTTTTTTCTTTTTTCCTTCTTCGTGCTTTTTCCTCCCTGTTTTGTGTGTGTGTGTGTGTGTGGTTGTTAGAGACCGATGAAAACCTAAAAAGCATGGACACTATGGAGGAGGTGTGCCATGTCGGACAAGACACTCTACGAGTACTCCCAAGAGCGTGTTCGACGCTTCTTCAACCTGTCTTAATTGAAATTTAAATTCATAATATCGGACATTTCATAAACACTTCTTGAACCCTCCAAACTCAACTTATGTGATGAATCTCTTCATAGTAACAATCTGCATTAAGTATGTTTTGAAACATTTATTAGATAAATACATTATGTGTAATTTAATGTTCTACAATTGTTTTGCATTCTTTAAAAGCAATTGTTATGTGAATGATATCTTAATGTTAAGTTACGGTATATATGACTTTTTAATTTTAGTTATTGTCATGTTTCTCTATATATATATATTTTTTCCAGTACATTTGAATAAACTATGCATATGTTGGACATATAATAAATTTATAAAAATATAAAATTTTAATGTGTCTCAAGCTTATTGTCCTCATTTTTTGAAAATTGCCGTGTCGCTGTTTCGTGTCACGTGTTTGTGCTATTTAGAAGTTAGATGAAAACCAATCTATTCATGGCTTCACTAGTTGAGGGATGTTATGATATGATTCTATAACTGGGGGAGACACTCTCAAGTTGATTTAGGCTATCTCACATTTAGATTGAAAACCTCAAGGAGAAAGAGTGGATAGAGCAAGCTGGAGACATATTTCATTTGGCTAGTTGCCAATAAGGTTGTTCATTGTAGATTCGTGCTGACTTTTTTTTGTGAGTGCTTAATTTGGCAGTTTGTATGACAATATGTGGGATGATGGGAACTCACTAGGGCCTAAGGAAGTGCACAACTATTTGACTAGGATGATGTACAATCGTCACAACAAGTTCAACCCACTATGGAATTAACTTGTACTTGGAGGAGTGAAAAATGGTCAGAAGTATCTTGGAACGGTAATCCTGTCAGTCACTTAGTTCATTTTCTTGATGCTCAAGGATAAGCTTTCAGTAACCTGGAATATGAATAATTTGTTTTAGTAAATATGATCCAGGTTAATATGATTGGTGTTCATTTCGAAGACGATCATGTGGCAACTGGATTTGGTCAGTGCATTGGAGTAGTAAGTAATTTCTGGATGATCTTATCCTCAATACTTGGAATACTTCTATGAAATGTTGTACAAGAAGTGATTCATTCATTTCTGCTATAAATTTTGTGATCAGTATTTCGTCCACTTACAAATAGAAACTTGAACATAAATAAATGCATATTAAAGAACAATTTTTCACAAAGAGGCACAAATGTTCTGTAATAATTATTTCTTTGTTGCATGCAATCTCTTAATTGTGTGAATGTGAATGTGAATGTGAATGATTATTTCTTTTGAAAAGGAAAATTAAAAAAAATAAAAATTTGAAGTAAATACAAGATATCAAGGACACTTGAAGCGTATAATTTCTTGTTGTAAATGGGCTTAGCAAAAGAAGAGAAACAAAAGCAGCTAAAGATTTGAGACAGAGAGTAATAGAACATGTAATCTTTCACTCATGTTCAATTATATATTTCAATTATATGTTGCAATGGTTCATCTACAAGACATTATTGTTTCTTGCAGAACATCCTTGTTGTCTCAAAGTATTACTGAAGGATTACCTTGGCGAGACCTGCTGAGCTGCTTTGTCTCATTGTTTAGGTATGCCAATACTTAATTGTGGTATAGTCATCATCAAATGTTTGTAATGTAATCATATAAATTTTTTGCCATTTGGTTAATTTTTTCACTTTGGATGTTTTTCTAGATTCTAACTTTTCTTATTTTATTCGTAGGTGACTTCCAAAAATGATCAAGCACAAGGCTGATGCTTCAAAACCATATATATTCCTTCCTGTTGTAGAAAAATATTTTGGATTCCTTCATTGATTTTCCTTTTAATTTTTGTTCAATTACTTATTCTTTCTATGATGGGTACTCATTACTGAAATACAAGAATGTATTGAGTGGTAGATTATTGGAGGGTCACTAGTCATGTTCGTATCTCATGGCTTTAGTTAGGAATTGAAACTCTGAACCAGGGTTGAATTGCTGGACCTGAATTTATACTCATATATATCAACAAACACGTGTATATGTGTATATTGATGCATGCATATGCACATTGGTCACATTCACGAGCATGAAGTATGTAATGGATTAGCTTCTCTTCTTTTTCTTTCTTTTTTTTTTGGTGTGTGTGTGTGTGTGTGTGTATGTTAAGTATGAAATCATTACTTGATGAATTTTGGTACAGTTATCCATATGTGATCGGTACATCAGTAATTGGCATCAAGTTCAAGGATGGTATTCTCATGGCTGCTGATATGGGAGGTAGCTCCTTAACTTGTCTTACTTGAATTCGCATGACATATACTTATTTATTGATTTACTTGATTTGATTTTTTTTTTTTTTTGTCAATATCCAATTCATTGGTACCAAAACATCTGTTTGAAGAGTATAATTGTTTAGATGCAGACAGTGGATAATCTACTGGAAGTCAACACCGAAGATTTGGCTATTTGCACTTTTTAGTTATTCATACTAGTAGAGATAGCATTGATACTTCTTTATTCCTCATGTTTCACATGTGCTTCTATCTGGGTACTTGAGACAAAATTCTAAAATTATGTGTACTTCAAGTGATTGATGCTTTCATTTATAGGTTCCTATTGGTCTACCCTGCGTTATAAGTGTGTGGAGCGATTGAAGTCTGTTGGGAAACACTCTCTCCTTGGTGCAAGTGGCGAAATAAATGATTTCCAGGAGATTTTATGCAACCTTGACAAGCTCATGTAAGCATCTGATCTTGTAAAAAGACTTGGCAAGTGATAAATGCTTACCCTTTTGTATTTTTTAATTTTTATTTGTTTTCTATTGTTACTATCACTATATGGAGGATGGTGGCGCTCCTACTGTTCATTGTAGATTCGTGCTGACTTTTTTTTGTGTGTGCTTAATTTGGCAGTTTGTATGACAATATGTGGGATGATGGGAACTCACTAGGGCCTAAGGAAGTGCACAACTATTTGACTAGGATGATGTACAATCGTCACAAGAAGTTCAACCCACTATGGAATTAACTTGTACTTGGAGGAGTGAAAAATGGTCAGAAGTATCTTGGAACAGTAATCCTGTCAGTCACTTAGTTCATTTTCTTGATGCTCAAGGATAAGCTTTCAGTAACCTGGAATATGAATAATTTGTTTTAGTAAATGTGATCCAGGTTAATATGATTGGTGTTCATTTTGAAGACGATCATGTGGCAACTGGATTTGGTCAGTGCATTGGAGTAGTAAGTAATTTCTGGATGATCTTATCCTCAATACTTGGAATACTTTTATGAAATGTTGCTATACAAGAAGTGATTCATTCATTTCTGCTATAAATGTTGTGATCAGTATTTCGTCCACTTACAAATAGAAACTTGAACATAAATAAATGCATATTAAAGAACAATTTTTCAAAAAGAGGCACAGATGTTCTGTAATAATTATTTCTTTGCTGCATGCAATCTCTTAATTGTGTGAATGTGAATGTGAATGATTATTTCTTTTGAAAAGGAAAATTAAAAAAAATAAAATTTTGAAGTAAATACAAGATATCAAGGACACTTGAAGCATATAATTTCTTGTTGTAAATGGGCTTAGCAAAAGGAGAGAAACAAAAGCAGCTAAAGATTTGAGACAAAGAGTAATAGAACATGTAATCTTTCACTCATGTTCAATTATATATTTCAATTATATGCTGCAATGGTTCATCTACAAGACATTATTGTTTCTTGCAGAACATCCTTGTTGTCTCAAAGTATTACTGAAGGATTACCTTGGCGAGACTTACTGAGCTGCTTTGTCTCATTGTTTAGGTATGCCAATACTTAATTGTGGTATAGTCATCATCAAATGTTTGTAATGTAATCATATAAATTTTTTGCCATGTGGTTAATTTTTTTCATTTTGGATGTTTTTCTAGATTCTAACTTTTCTTATTTTATTTGTAGGTGACTTCCAAAAACGATCAAGCACAAGGCTGATGCTTCAAAACCATATATATTCCTTCCTGTTGTAGAAAAATATTTTGGATTCCTTCATTGATCTTCCTTTTAATTTTTGTTCAATTACTTATTGGTTTTCAATGGATGGATGTTTAAAACTTGTCTCAATTAAGGTTTTGAATGGAATGATTATAAAGTTTGGGATTGAGCAGGAAAATATGATGAATTTTAATGTTATATTTAAGTTGGGTTGAATGAATTTTGTTCAATATTGGATTGAATGTTTATAAACAAAAATTGATTGTGCAAAAAAAAAAAAAAGATTCGGCGAATAGCTAATTAGTCGTTGATTGTTTAATGTCTTTTGGCGACAAAATATTTGGTTGAGAAAAGTTTTGGTGACTAAATAATTGGTCGCCAAATTCTACACTTTGCGACTAAAATCATTGGTCAGCAATTCCTTACCTTTTGGCAACTAAATTATTAGTTGGTGATTCCTCAACTTTTGACGACAAAAATAGTTGGTAGCTGATTTTTTGCTTTTGGCAACAAATATATTTGGTCGGGAAAATATTACTTTTCGCGACCAAAGTGTTTTAGCGACTAAATGAATTAGTTGTGGTAATGATATATTTAGCGACCAAAAATTTAGTCGTCAAAACTTTTTCCCGACTAACAAAGTTTTGGTCGCCAATTACTTTTGCCGACCATCAATTGGCGACCAAAGTGGTGACCAAAAATATTGGTTGCGAATGATTTTTGCCGACTAAAAATGGACTTTTGCAGACCAAATTTTTAGTCGGCAAAAGTGAAATATTTTTTGTAGCGAATATTGCCAACCAATTTTTTGGTCGTGGAATGTATTGCCAACCAAATTTTTTGGTCGCAGAATGTGACAATTTGCGACCAAATTAGTTGGTCGTGGAAATGGGCGACAAATGCCGACCAAACTATTTGGTCATTGAATGTGCGAATCGGCAACTAACATGTTTGGTCGGGAAAATATGACTTTTCGCGACTAAAGTGTTTTAGCTACTAAATGGATTAGTCGCAGTAATTATATATTTAGCGACCAAAAATTTAGTCGGCAAATATAACTTTTTCGCGACTAAAAAATTTTTTAGTTGCTAATTACTTTCCGCGACCCTCAATTGGCGACCAAAGTGGCGACCAAAAAATTTAGTCGCGAATAACTTTTGCCGACTAAAAATGAACTTTTGCCGACCAAAATTTTAGTCGGCAAAAGTGCGAATTCTTGTAGTGAAGTTTGAGCGTAGTTTCTAATCGAGCCAAACTCGAGCTTAATAAACGAGCCCGAAAAATAAACGAGCAGAGTTTGAACTTAGCAAAACTCACTTGACTCAGTTTGTTTGGAGCCCTACTCAAAAGGGTGTGTATTATGTTCTTGTTATCCTTGCAGGGTTGTGATGTTGCTGCTTGCAGGTTGTTGATTGAGTTGCAATATTTTATTAACCATTTTGCTTGTTATGTTAATACCATGTAACCTTTCCTCAAAATAATAATAATAATAATAATAGGTGACAAGACTAAACAAAAGAGAGCATTCTGAATATAATACTCAATCAAAAAAAATAAAAACTAATTTTTAAAAAAAAAAAAAATTCAATGTCGTTAATAAAATATTGCAACCTTCTCCAGGGAAGAACTGTTTTGTCTAATGCAGCGTCCCTCCCGCATAATTCGCATGCCCCCCTCCAATTAATAAAATATTACAACCTTATCGAGGGAAGGAACAACTTATCTATTGATTATTTAATAATTTTAGAACACCACGTAGTTATAGTTCAAGTTAATCACTAAATTTAAGACTCGTGCTGTTTTCTATTTTCAACATAAATCTTGAGTCACTATCCCTTTTTATTAATCAAAATTTTATAAAATATCAGGTGTCCATATTCTTGAAATATTGAGTAATCACCCCTAATGCACCGCCCCTCCCGTATACTTCGCATGCCCCCTCCCATATGGGAAATTTTCATGCTTGTGCTCTAAAGAATATTCAGAAAGAATATTCGGAGAGAATAGAATCATTCAACGTGGACTAACAGCTAATGGACTACGCTTGCATATAATATTTTGAGTATTGGTATTTAGGTTTAAAAATTAGATTCATTTTCTAAATTCAATATATGATACTTTATTAAATATCTAAGTCAGTTTTTATTTTTTATTGTTTAATTATTAACCAATCATATATATTATTGGATTTAAAAATAGAATTATATATCATTTTTCTAATATTTTTTATAACCAAACGTTCGGACACACGACTTCGCCTTCTCAAAACATCTATAAATTATAAGCCTTCCAAAAGTTCAGAAGCCATGGCACTCGCAGTGGAGCAGGAGGGATCCTCCTAAGATTCAACAGCAGCAAGTTTGCTTAGTGAAATGGCTTCTCAGCTGCTATCGGCAATCAAAAGTACTGGCCTTTGGGTTGTATCTTACTTTACTAATGGTCCTTCAAATCACAAGGATGCTTGTTCTGGCTCCAAAGTAGAGTCTGATGATGTTGAAGCTGTTGAATATGCAGGTAATGATCGTCTGCCGAACTCACAGCCAGTGATCTCAACAACTTCATCACAAACCCATTCACCTTCTTCATCATCATCATCATCCACTCCTTCTCACCCCATCTCATCACCCTCCCAACAACCAGGCTTTCAATCTGAATCCCAAACCCAAATATTAACCCACTTATCAAACCCAATAGCCAAAGTTTTTCGTGAGCTGGAGATGGGCAAATCGTTTCTCACTTTCATACTGCCTACAGCCACAATAATCTTGGCACTACACGGCAAAAATCCCTCCCCGGAGTTTTGTATTCGATCTTGTGCTTACTTTGCGCTGCTCTCGTCGCCTTGCTCTACGGAATATCGCTTCGTAACTTGTTTCCTGGGATTGCAAATGCATTTGAACAATTGGGAATTACATGTATTTATACATCGTTTTTCATAGTTGTTGCATCTCACCTTCCCTTGGCCTTTTTTTGGATTCCCTTAATCTGTTTTATGGCTTCAATGCCACTAACTATCTACAGCTGTCTACCTGTTAAAAAGAAGGCCAATACCAATACCAAAGTTATGAAACCCTAATGTTGCTTCTGCTTCCGTAGACTTTGGAGAGTAATTTTGTACTTGTATATTGCATGTTTAACACACAAAAAAAAATAATAATAATAATAAAAAGTAGTGGATGTATTGTAAAAATTAGTGGAGCACACTTTTGATGTTTTTATTTATTTATTTGTCAATGTTTAAGGAGTCCTAAAAGTATGTCAGGTTCTAGTTGCTTTGTTTTAATGGGTGCTCTTATGTGTGATGTACCCGTCTTTGCACTCATGGACCGTGTTTTTCGGATATCAAATGATGTTGTTAGTATATTATTATACTTTGTATATAATTGTTATAGCATCAGCTTTCGGCGCCTTTGTGCCTTTGTTATCATTGTGTTTGTTCCTTTCGGCTAAAGCATTAGCCTTGCCTTTCGGTGCCTCGCGTCTCGCATGGCATGCCCAATATCAGTCTATAAATAGAGAGCTAAGCTCCCTTTGTATAAACACACAACAAATATATATACACATTTATTCATTTGCTCTCTCTCTCTATCAATTTATTTTACAGATGTGATGCCACATCATTTAAACCGGGAAGAAAACGTTCTAGCTATTTGATTTTCTAGCAAGTTTTTTAGTTTTTTGAAAAGTGATTTAAAAAGCTAGTAAGAAGTTAGTTTTTGATTTTTTAGTTTAATATTTATTTTTAGTGTCAAATCAAATTAAAATGATTAAAATATCCTTACCTAACATAAAAAATTTATTTTTTTATTTTTTTTCATAGGTCCTAATTTATAATTTTATACCTGCATTTTTAGCACTTACCAAACTAATTTTCTGACGTTTTTGACACTTACGTTTTTAAATATTTTATCTAAAAACGTGACTTTTTGTTAAGTTCTCAAAATGGCACTAAAAGTCTCATCACATTAAAGTTTCTTTTCACTCACTCACTCACTCTCCCCCTCTCTCTCTCCCTGCAAGCACCCCGTCTCTCTCTCTCTCCCTGTGCAAGCATGTTTTTCTTTTTTTAATTTTGACAGAGACCCCTCAATCACCAACCCTCACCATCCTCACACACATGTAGGGATTAGTGATTGAGGGAAAAAAGAAAAAAAAAAAAATTTGGCCAATCATAAGCCAAAGGGGTCGTGGGAGTCGCTATTTGAAGGGGCTCTGGAACATTTTTATTTATTTTTTAATCTCTCAACCCATATGACCTGTCTTCAACCTTTTATTTTTCTCTGTCTAGGAATTGTTTTCATCTTTTTACTCAATTTCTAATTAAAATTTATTTATTTATGTCTGATTGTATAGGTGTGTGTTAATATATATATATATATATATATTTGTTTATTTATTTGGAAAAAGTGTGGGTTAAGGCCTCGTTTGAGGACTGACTATTTTAGCCAAAAAGTCAAAAAGTCAACTAAAACTAGTCACATCACTTCTTTACTTTTCTGCACATCTTTTCGTAAAAAATTAAAAAGTTACTAAAATAGTTTGTTTCCAAACGAGGCCTAAGATTCCATTTTGACTGCAATATAAATTTCTAAATCAAATTTGGAATTCATCACCAATGGGGGTTTTGGGGGATGGGCTACCCGAAATTTTTGAGTAGTTTGGTAATTTTCTGATTGTTTTTGTGTTATCCTAATTCTTTTACTTATAAATAGAAAAAGGGAGTGTCTCTTGTAGGTAAGAGGGTTGTATTATTTTTTGATTATAGTGAAAATTATAATAGTCGTGAACGTTGATTTATTCTGAGATAAACTATGTAAATTTTTATGTTATTGTG